TTTTCAATGATTAAGTTAATATTTTTATCAGTATAATACACTAATAAATTAAGCGCAAAAAAATTTTTTAGACTTTATTACAACCATTGTTTTATTATTCATCTATTTTTTTACAAGAAAACTATTAATCTTCCTGATCGAATGAAATTTTATCATCTATTGAAATGATGTTTTAAAAAATTTCTAAGCCTACTTTTTATTCAAGAGTCTAAACAGAAGATTAAGTTAACTACAAATAAATATCAGTTACGAAGAGTTAATAAATATTAACAAATAATTTCATTAGTGAATAAATAACTTGATGAAATGCCTTTTTAGTGTTAACTAAGAACTTTCAATGACAAAAGTTCCAACATTCAAATGCCTTTCTTGTATTGAAGACGCAATTTAGTAGCACTCCATTTTGTGCCAAATAAAACAACGATCCCACTTAAGTTATCCATGCCGATTCAGCGAAAATGGCTCATCCCTTCTCTATGGTCGGCTCGATATCATTCGGATTGACAATGGCCTTCTCTATAAAATGGCAAGTACCGCCGAGTTCATATAAATTATCATCCATCCAGCGAACTAATTTCACTTTAGACAGTTATATATCCCGACAAAATAATATCCCAAGCAACGGAAATTGAGCTTTTGTGCATTTGGAATACTAAATACTTGATTTTACGATTCCTATCACTTATTCACTCAGACTGATTGTGAATAAAATGGATATCATGAAATTTGAAATAATTTAAATGGAATTCGAATTCCCGACACGGCCATCATTATATTGAATGCCTCTGGAAAATATTGGAGATAAAATAATCCATCAATTTTCAGTTGCAATAAATCATAATTCTGTTGAGGAATCGATAACTGCACTTGAATTTCATCTCGTGGTCTGAGAGCCTCGATCGAGCTTATCCGGACTAGCTTGATAGACTGAAGAAGAGCCAAGGAAGCGCACTGAGACTGTAAGTCATGGGTTAATGCCCCTGGGAAATTACCAGACGCATTGATGGCCATCTCTGATGCACGCAGTCGAGTCGATAAGTAATTAAGTGAGTGAGTAACTGAGGGCAAGACGTTACAGGCCTTAAAGGGGTTACAATCTAGATTAAGGATGCCATGCAGACTAGACAGGACAGCCCTGGGTTGGTAGACACTCACGGAACTCAACTGGAGAACCAAGCCTTACAGCTCGTACTGTCTCGGTGGAAGTTTGTTGCCGTAAATCAAATGTATGTCACAACAAAGTTAAATGCGAACAGAGGTAATAACTTTGTTTTAATGGTAATGCTGGATAATTTATAAGACGAGGTAATAACTCATGAATTCCGTATAAATTATTTATACATATTTAAGTTTACTTTGATCGAGATATTGAGAAATTTCAACGGCCCTCGTAAATCTAGCTGTAAATTATGTAAAAGTTATCGAAGGTCATCTACTGGTGGGTATATATGTATATATATACTTTGCGAGTAGCTAGATACTCATGGGTACTGTAGACTAGTTTCGCTGGAAGATATACTAAAGTGAGGAAACGTATAAAATCGATTTTCAGTAACAGTGCAGAAATTCTGTGTGACGGAAGACAAAACGAGCCCATTGGGAATCGGATGGAACCTCCAGGGAAACTGTATAATGTATCTGGTGTCCAATTCAAGAGTTCCGGTGCCTCGAAAAAGGAATAGTTTCTTCATAAAGTTGTAAGATGATGCACTAAATTACATTACACAAGCACGAGTCGAACCCGATTGGATTAACTTCGAAGCTATAACTGTCACCTTTATTCATTTATTTGGTAAAAGACACTTTCACGATAGACACGTCAATAAAAATTTATCGAAAATGGTGAAATTTTTGATCATGAAGAATGTATTAACGTAAAGTGCAATTCACGAGTACGGATTTGAAAACAAATAGGATCAGTCATAACAAATTCCCGTTAAAGGTTAATAATTCGTAATAAGTAAAAGCAAAAAGCAATAAAAAGGTGAGAAGTAATGCGAAAGTTTTGGGAAACCGCCCGACTACGAATCGGTGATAAAAGGGGACCAGATAAAGGGGAATAAAAATTTCTAAAAGGAATAATCACCGGGAGGAAGAAAGAAATAGGATCGATTTGAATTGCGAAAAAGAGAGACGGAAGAATAATAGCACAACGCTCGATTATCTCGGTGGAATTGTACGACTGTGGATCCCTTTGTGGAGTCTCCTGCGGGGTTTATACAACTGCCTTAGAATCTTGGTAGCTAAGAATTTTCGCTCTTCGCTCTTTGCTCTGGCTTTAGGATATATATAAATATATATATATATATATATATATATATATATTCTGAACGGACGTTTATACTGACGTAAAACTTTTATAACAAGACGAAAATAGGGAATCCATTATGTCTAGTGCCGGGAAATCAAAATATTCATACATCCAGTATAAAGCGTCTTTTGTGAGTGTAAATGTGTGTGCGGAGACCCGGGTAGGAATGAGGGTAATGTCGTTCATACTCTACCTCAGTTGACTTCCTTTCCGGTGAGGGATGAGAGGGCCTCTTCAGTCTGCATAGTAACCTCTCATCCTTATCCTCCTTCTCGTTCTCCACGTTCTCATCCTCAACCTCAACTCGTCCTCTATAAAGTTCGACATAATTACGCCCGGAGAACGATTCCAGAAACGTTCTATTATCATAAAGACATCCACAAGGAGCCACCGGATTGGAAAAGCGATTATGAAGGCTTCCATACAACCAAAGCACCGTGGTTTGCTCATCAAGCTTTTATAATGTACATATTTAACTGTGATGTATACCATTAATGGATCCAGCAGTTATGTACCTTCCTTGTACCGATATTTAAAGGAGTGAAATAAGGAGGTGTATTTATTAACGTTTTCCACGTCTAGGAGATCCACCTAGCTAGAAAGGAGCACTGATGACGTTGATATCTGATTTAGTGAGCTGCATGTTATTATTACTATTATTATTATCACTACTCTGAAGATGTATAAGCGACAGAGTAGAATAAGCAGTACAAGGATCTAGCAGCCACCAGCCAGTTGATCCAAGCTAATTGACTAGATTCACGAAATCGAGCAATCTCTGCGGAAATTGCTTGGGTAGTTGCAGATGTGTCTTGAAATTACATTGAGCTTGTTCTCTCACTTCCTCGTTACTCTCACTCTCGCCTTCTCAGTCTAAACTGGTGCTGGCTGCTAGAGAAGCTGGTAGAATTCACCCCTCAGACACCACATGGCGTGAACCGAAACTTGGGTACAACGTGCTGAGGATCGTTGTAAATTGCATCAAGCTCGTCTAGTTGTCTCTTGAGGAACCTGACACGACGACATCCAGGGAATAATTTCTCATTGTCGGCTGGTTTGTTTATTTTTTAGTTCCAGAAGCATGAAAAGAAACCCGGGCGTTGGAGGCCGAGCTTTTGCAACTGAAAATGAATTTATCTCTCTCGCGGATCCACTTGCCTGTTAAATGCTTCTTCTCTGTCACAGTGATCGAATAATCTTGATGACTCGGCTGTCAAAGTTTGCTAGCTCTTTGCCAGTCTTTCATTTGATTCGCTCTACAATTATGGGGATATTGGCGTTAAGCTTTGACGTTAGAAAGAGATACTTAGAGACGGGAATAAAGAGCGGAGATGGCAACAAAAATAAAACAGGGAGGAAGATGAGACGAGGATGGGACTATTACTTTGTGGATGGGTATAAAAAGAAGGAGCTTGGAAAGACAAAGAGCAATTGCTCTGTCATGCTCGTCTGGAAAAGAACGAGCACAAAGCTTCCAGGCAATTGATTATTATGAGAATATAGGCAATCTATCTATATATATCAAGAACAAGATTGAGATAGATAGATAGATGGAGAGACGGAGAATGTCTATAGAGTAAACTCTTACGTGCTTGTGTAACTTTACTCGCTGAAATATCCCATGCGATTTGGCCTTTATCTTTCGCTCATTCGCTTGCTTGCTTCTCCTCAATTATTCTCGCTGATAGAGCTAACGCATGAGCTAAAGCCTGAATTAGCCAAATGGATCATTCACCCAATTACGCTCCCTATCTCCAAGCGAAACGATCCCCTTATTTGAATCTCGTTTTATGAATTTAGCGAGTATGGTGTCTTTGAATAGCTTTTGGCTCAACGGCTTGGGAAAACTATTGATATTTATCGGGTGAAAAATGAATACCGTTAATTGACGTAGTTACCCAAAGCAGTTGACAGTTTCAGGTGAAGCGTGATGAACACTTGGGTTTGCATTTTTTAAGATAGTACTCTGGCATGATTGCTCTCAATTCTAATGATTATATGTGACAAGTATAAAATTTTCTGGCAACAAGGTTCAACTACACTATATTACAAAGCATATGCTTCGAGTAGTTGAGTGAATATCAGCATCAGGTTCTACATCTGTTAGCCTTTATCAAGATCACTCACTCAAATAAAAAAGGAAGTAAGTTAAATGAAAAAATAAACAAAAGTATCGTGCGATTAGTTCACGTCGTTGAGCGGCAGAGTGAGTCGAAGAATGAGGTTATGTCAAGGGAGTAGGACAGATAATTCTTACAAGTTGTTGAGTAACAGTCTTGTGCTGCAAGAGCGAGAGTACTTTCTCCATCGAGATCACGACAGCATCGCTAATGTTATCGGTTGAACGCCGTTAAATTCTTTGCTACACAGCACACAACCACTACATGGTAAGATTCTTTTAAACTCACCAACCGGAGTTTGTTTGTGTTGAGTGAGTCTTTTATTTGATAGGCTAGATGATGCACTCTTCATTTTCCGTAAATTAAAAATAATAAATAACATGGAACATCACTTGAGTTTTCATCATATTCAAACAAAGATCCTTTTGTTTACGCTCAAGGCATTGTTGTATGAGCACAAAAAGTATATAGCGATGATTCATCAGGTGGGAATGACAGTGCTGATGTTTAAAACGTTGAAAAATATCAATGCCCATTTTTATTTTCGGACCATTCACCGACGAGGTCATTTACCAACAAACTACAACACAAATACAGCAGCAATAGAGACAAAGTTGGTTCAGTGTTGTATTTGTGTGGATTAAAACTCGCGGAACCAGGTTCCTGTGTATATGAGTGTACACAAAGCAGGCCAGCATACCCACAACCGCTGTATCACCCGAGTTACGGGTCAGTGTCTTCCGTCAAGGTCTTTTTATCCAACATCCTGCATGCCATCAACCGATGCGGGAAAACCACCGTAACTCATTATTCCCATAAAATACTAATATAAGTATCATTGATAAATTCGACGGAGACATATGATAGAGGATCACTCGAAATAGTATTTTTCTTACCTAGGGCAGGAAAATAAGAAATGTCTCAGATTACATGTAATTGTTGACCGAGGCGAAGCCGATCTAAGGCTTTCTTATTTCCTGCCCGTGGTGAGAATACTATTTTTCTCCTCGACGAAGGCGGAAAGCGGCATTTTCGTTTAGCGCAGCGAGCAGAAAATTGACGCTTTCCGTACGGAGGGGAGAAAAAAATTTATGTATGATGTATGTTAGAGAGGAAAACCTCAAACATATAAATTAAAAAAGTTTTACATTAAAATAAATAATAAAAATGTGTATACGAGAGCGAGCACTCGAGTTTTATACTTATATATATATATATATATATATATATATATATATATATATATATATATATATATATCGTGCTCGTACATATATGTATATATCAAGCAATGTAGAGAATTTTAAAATAAATTTCCGGTGAACAGGAACGAAACGTGACGGACGATCCGCTTCCGTTTTGTCATTCTGGAGCGTATAAATAAAACGAATAACACTCCTGGGAGTTTTTTTTACCAGCAAAACTAAAAAATATAATGCTTTTTTACGAAAAACAATTTTTTCAAAGCATTTTCTAAAGCGGAATGGCTTATCGATTTGGGAACGTGAGTATTGTCTTCAAAACAATCAACAAACTATATATACGATACCTTCCTGCTATTGGTATTATTGTTGTTGTTGTTCTGTAGTTGACGCTCCTGCTCCTGATGCCGCTGCTGTAGTTGTTGTTGTTGTTGATATTGCTGTTATATAGCTTTTTAACATCCCTATTCTCTTTGGCCAGTTTTTATTGCATGAACAGTGATTGAAAATAGCTACGGGATACTTCGAATTCTATAACAGCACACACAAACACACACGTAATGCAGTTTTGCGAGCAATAAAGGGCCATCCGTTGAATGATGGAAAAGCGAAACAAATACAGACACGTGACATGAAATAAAAAAGCCTCGTGTTTGGATATTGCTGTGCGTCCAAAGTATAATGGGGACTTGAAAAGTTTTCATTCTAGCTTAAAGTGTCGCATACAGTGCGAGTTTTCTATTCAACTGATCTAGCTCCCTTCTCATCATCCACCATGTTCTATCGCACGTAATAACGCATCCAAACACGGTTCGCCATAATGGAGACAGCTCCTCAACAACAATATATCGTTACTGCGAAGCGTGGCCCATTTTTATTCCAAGATTCGAGATTACTCTCCAGCAGCATTTCATCCCGCATAGAGCATTAGTTACAACAGCTTGGATACCACACATTATTTTCCTGCTCTCCACAATATCCTTTATCCCATTCACGTAGATAAATAATTCCCCTTGATGATAATGTGGTTAAGATAGAGACAAAGTACTCCTTGGTACGACTACAGACCAACTTTAATCTTTTAACGATCGATCGAAATGATAAGTTTACTTGCACAAACTCAAACCCAAAGGAATATAACTTTTGTTGTGTTTTAATCTTGGGATCCCGATTAATCAGCCGAAGATGCAATAAAACTTGATCTGGATGAGAATCAATCGGATCAGTATCGACAGACAGCTAAATGTTAAGTGCTTAATACTCGAAGCCAGCTTTCAGATGATCTAGATCCTCGTGGATTTGAATAGATTTTTATGTAAAGAGATTACAATCAACTGCCGGATTGGGATTGAGTGATTGCTATAAATAGAAACAGGATTGGGACAATAGATCGTTACTGAGGATTAAATCCAATGATAATGAGAAAGTGATCAACGACTTTGTTACCCTTCGAGTGGAAGGCTAAGAGAAAGAGAGAAAGGAAGAGCGGGAACCTCTTAGTACAGTTCGATCGAGTTGTAGTTTGTGCATTCACCATCACTTGTAATATAAGCCCAGCTCGCATATTTGTTACTACATTTACGGGGAATCTCGTTGGTGGTTGGTATTTATGTCAGCTGCACCTGCGTACTGAGCGTTAGTCTCCCTTCTCATATCGTCTTTGTGACGCTCGGACGCATTTGGGTTAAGGGTAGAGGGTCCTCAACCTTTATCGATCTACCTACCAGCTTGCTTTTGCGCTAGACATATTATTCAAAAAGATAACTCTTAACTAATTTTCATTCCAGACTGCACTCCTTTGGTTCACTTCGGTTCGGTTCCGTTCTGTTTCCTCAGTTATGTCTACACATGCACTGTACTATGCTCACTGTTCATCCTGTTCCAGTCGTATCCTTTGTTGACAAATTACATCATCCGTAAACACAATTTGTATCCTTTCCGGCATACGCGGGGTTAGTTTTGTCTATTTCACTCATTTACTTCTATCCACACTGAGCTCAACTGAACTCGAGCACTTACTGTCTGAAAACACTTGGGATAGCGCAAGATCCTGAGTACACAATGTTTGCAATCAAAGCTTCTGTTAATTTAAATTAAATCAATAACAATAATAGTTCTTAGTTTTAACGTTCAGTTTTACATGCGAAAAAAATTTTATAAGTCAACATATGACTTAATATTAATATTGCCTGATATGGTCATATATGCCCATTTATAATTTTTTTTATCGAAGAGAGTGTTAAAAATTTCTGACAGATGGCGCATAGTCGCTGAATCGTCTCTTTACAAGAGAGTAAAGTTTTAAATGTACTTTGTACACGCTTTATAATTTTTATCATTCTTCTCAAAAGCTTATCTAGGATTAGTTTTTTGGTTCAATCAACTACTTAACCAATTTTTGTTCAACAAAATATTTTAATTGATGAACACATTATTTGAAAAAATAATAAATTATTTTTTTATTCCAATGTATAGTAGCCAAATAAAGCCATACCATGAAATTTTTGCTACAAGGATACTTTTTATTATCAGCATCCTTCTAATCTAAAAGTTGTTTCACCCGTTAAAAGTTAACAGCTGTAGAAGTAGCTGGATTCAAGTGTTTTTCCAGCCGATCGAGTAAGCACTGGGCTTCTGTTAGGTTTCCAAACTAGAAACCCAGATCGCTGTCTGTACATTTGTTATACCTGGAAGCTTTTGGCTTATTCTTAGCACAATCTGTTAAAAAATGCCAAGATTTAAAAGTAACTCACACGATTATTTATTTTAGTGTATCTTTCTCGCCAAAGCTCTATCTGTCTATCGGCAGACGTATCTTAATCCATTTGGAAAAATCCCCGAGCATGGCCACGGGCCAACTCCAAAGTGGATAAACCTCAGCCTCCAGAAACATAATAAATTTTCTAGATCCTAATTTCCGACATAACGAGTGTACCCAGGGACTAATTCACCAGATCCAGACGAAGGTATGGCGCTTGGATTTCCCATTAGCCTCTATTCGATCAATCATACCCAGAACTGGTGCCTTGATAAATGTTATGCCGGCATGCACGGTATTACTTAGTTTCATTTCATTTGTTAGTTATAAAACCCTTCTTGGTTTCGACGTTTTGATAGAGTGCAAGTGCTCGAGTATCTGGCATAAGACTCGGAGATATTTTGTGCATTGGCTCATAGGGAATGTGTCACCGTGCACCAGAAATAAAACAAGTCCAAGTAAATGGAGTCGGGCTGTAGCAGTGATGGAAAAAGAGCATTCCATTGAAAGAGTGTAAGCACATACGTGGAGTTTTGGTACCCGAGTAGATCGAATGTCGGGGAATGATGGTTGAACCAAATCCGGAATACAATAGCACCGTTTCTAGCAATACCGATTACCTCGAGCATTTCACCGAGCTCAAGCTCGGAAATTGAACGCTTTTCCAGTTTCGCGAGTCGTACTGCTGCCACCGGAGGAAAACACACGCTTCAAAGCCATTTTCAGTGATGTCTCTGGCCAACGGGAGATCAAAGCTTTTACAAGTAACTCAACACAAAAACTGTGTTCGTACATATTCTATTCTTCACTTAGCTTTCTTTTTAACATTTCACAGTTTCGTTCTCCTTTTTCTTATTCTACATCCTTCCTTTCTCTCTTTCTTTATTGCTTTCTTCTGGAGACTTTTTGTTCCTACACGGACCCGAAAGAGTCTTGGCACCGAGCTGCAAACTGAAATGACGTCTTAACACTTGCAGCACTTGTCGACAAGCAAACTCTCGACCTTTTCCAACCAGCATTGGCCCTTTCCTACACCTCTACTTTCCAGCCCGCAGTGTATAACCTCTCGTGGGATCTCTTCTGGCTGATTCTATACTCTCAGCTGGCTTTTAACATCCACGATAAAGGACACCGGCCCGACAAGAACAGCATATATAAGTGCACTTACCACTCTTACATAAGTCCAAGCACATCATCCAGGCTTTCTGATCCCATAACTCTTTGACCCACTTTTTTGTGTTTTAATACTTGTTCCACGGTTACAATGGCTTTTTATTACCATAATGCACTTATATACTACCACTTGTTTCGCTTTGTTGTCACACTTTTTATACATAACCCGCAACCTCACATTTACAAACGCCAACTTTTAACCGAGCTTTATCTGTTACTGAAACCGACGCTAGTTCTTTACTCTTTTCATCTACATCAAGTGGCTTTTGCTTTCGCTTTGTTTGTCAATAATGGAAAGTTATTATTCCCAAAAAGCCCTAGATTAAGAATGCATAAAGTCCGATCAGGTATAATGCCCTTCTATTCTTGTTTTTCAGAGCTTTATGTTTAAGCTTGATAATTAAACAATGAAATTAATTCTATAAAATAATGAGCCGTGTGTAATGAGGGCGGTAATAGACCTTCAACAATTGAATGATATACATAGTAATGGAATATAATATTACATTACTGTCCTATATATAATATTAAAGCTGGAGGTCATTCTCTACTCGGCGAACAGAGACAACTTCCTGAACCGCTTTGTTCACTTGGGCAAATCGTCCGTCTGGTTTTCCAAAGACGTGAAATTAAACTCTGCGAGTAAAGTGAAGTGAACAAAGCTAAATTCTTCCTTCATAATAACTTTATAAATCCGTTATTCATTCGAGTGATACTCATGTACTATAACCTGGCATTTGCTCTCATTTCTTCTTTTATTAAATTTCTTTATCTTTTATTGCTCCTATTATTATTATTATTATTATTATTATTATTATTATTATTATTATTATTATTATTATTATTATAGCTTTCTATCTTCTTTGCGATCCAATTAACTTCGATAAAGGTGATCTCTCAGTAATACTTACTGCAAACATAATCCAATAAGTCTTATATTTAGCTTTGGCTCCTGATGGAAAATCGTCGTCGTAATAATAATAATTTTTGTTCTTAGTTCAATCGCAACAGAAGCCAAATTTAATAAAAAAAATATTATGGATTTTATGGCCTACGTTTTACTACAATTACTCGGGCGTTGATTCTGTTTTTTTTTTTTTATTATAACGTTGGAAAAGAATCAATCAACCCGAAAAGTAACTTGTTTTGTGAAAAAATTATCATATGTAGCCATATATGTCTGTTAGAAAATTTTTCATTAATTATTAGATTAATTAAATTGAAAAAAATTGTACCTAAACTGAGGGAAAAAAATTCTTTTGAAAAAAATGGGCATTGTTGTGATGGAATTAATTTGTTTAACAGTCAATATATTTTTTTTTTCATAAACAATCACTTGGTAACTTTCCCTCAACTTACTTGATAAAAAATAACAATTTTTTATAATATTACCTCAGCATAAGCTGTATATTCAGACACGTGCTTTATATTTTATACCACAAGTACAACTACGGTAATTTATATAAAAGTTTCTCAAACAGATAAATACAGATGATGCTAGCTCGTAAAGAAGAAGTAGATACTTAATAAATACGAGGATAAATAAAATTTAAATGCTGATAGATACATATCGGTTTAATCTTACGAATTGACGTCTGATCAAGAATTCACGAGGTTTATCTTCTCCTGTCGCGTCCTATTCGGCTCGGATGTATCTCTCTACATATGTAGTGCTAGACGGGCACACATATGTCTACAACATTTTAAATAATTCATGTCAGGTGTCATTCATTTACCATGAGCGACAAATTGAAAACGTGTTATCCGCGTTCCCACTTAAACATTTCATTTAATCTCACGTTATTTCTTTTTAACTCTATTAGTTGTCGGTATTTTATTTTTAATCAAGCTTAGTCGGAATAGAACAGACCAGAGCAAAACTAAAAAAAAAAAATCATTAATTTAAAATAAAATAAAATCGGTTTATTCCACAGTGGGATTGAACGAGAGAATCATTTAAAGCTCCGGACGAAGCTTTTAATCCTGTCTA